TAATCTTTTCTTGTGGTAGATAGAAATAATTTTCCCCGCATGGGGAAAGAGTGATTATTGTGATGCTTGCAGGTCTGTGGACTCACTCAGGGTGATGTGCTGAGCTTGAAAAAAATGCAGCAGATTATCTAATATCCATTGCCCAGTTCTTCACTGAAGGGCTCTAATCCCTTGTCCTCTTCTCCCTGCGGTCCCCTGCTCACTGTGGGCTGAGACTCCTGCCCCCTGATCGCAGCAGTGGTGGATTGATAAGGTCACCAGGTTAAAGCCTAAGGCTTGAGCTGGTGCTTAACATACAGCATCGATTTATACAGCCATTTTTTCTCTTTCTTGCTTCCTTAATTAGTATTTAAATATTCTGAGTGAAGTGGAATAGGTCAAACAGGAGCCATTAATGACCTGAATCCAGAATACTCTATAGCCTATTTACTGGAGTGTTCATCTGGGGAGTACAACAGACAAGTCAGAATCTACCAGCTCTCTCATTTAGAGCAGACTGCACTGAGATTTCTCACATCCCAACTGCATTGCCCTAGCAACAATATTATTATTTAAAACTGAACAACCTCTTTTTTTTTAGTATTGTGACTAACCTTCTGCTTTTAATATGCCTGGTCTTAAAAAGGCATTGCATGTTAAATATTTTACTTAGGTTTTTTGTCCTATTGGCAGAATAAGATTGCTACACATAAAATAGTTATGAAATGACAAAAAACCAGAAAATTACTCTTTTACACCTGAATGAGTCTGAGTGGAATAGGTTTATTTATTAGTTTTGGAGGCTTAGTTTTGTTTTGTTTCATTTTTCTTCTAGAGTAGTAGGAGGTGTAGCAGTTGAACTGTAAAATAAAGCACCCATCCTCAACCATGGACTCCTATGTTTATTAAGTTTTAAGGAGAAAATGCCTCAGCCCACAAATACAAAGGATATTTTACCTAAGATTCCAGGACTACAAGCTCACTCTGGACTCTGAAAGTCACACAGTGTTCTCAAAGTTGTCGCCAATTGTCAAGGTTTATTTATACTTACGAGACCTTATGGGTCTTCAGATTGTATTCTACGTGACAACTCTGAAACCAGAGGAATAGTAAGAATCTTAGAGTTTTAGCTGTTTGGAATTTAGCAAATCAATCTGTTGATGTAAAGGTGACATTCGTGACCTGATGGGGTAGTCCTGTGTGAACGAGAAATTGTGATGTGCAGTCAGAGGTATATATCCCTGGAGTAATCTTTTTATAGAAATGTATATATAACTTTTTAAAGTTCCTATCCTCATTGAAAATCAATAGCAATCACAAGCCAAAGTGCCAAGAGGCTCTAGCAGACATGTGGCAGTGGATTAAAATTGGATGGCTGAAATTGTAGCAGCCTTCAGCTGCACCCTCCACTCCTGTGATGGATGTTGCCTCTCCCAAAGCAGAGACAACTGATCTGCTCATGAATCTCCTGATCCACTGCAGTGCTCACTGAAAGTAAACTGACCTGGATTCAGGCTGGCTGTAATACAGACACAGAAATTTGTATTGAAAGAGAAAATGTTTATTATATGGATGGCAAGGTAACCTATAAAAGTTCAGGAATCTGATTTTAACCTGCTGCTGAACGACCTCTGCTAACTGTAAATGTAGAACTCAGTAGGGTCCATCAGGTGATTTCAAAACAACAAAAGTGCCTGTCTTAGTCCTCCACTGGGCACCTGAAGCCCCACTGACCTCTTGGGCATGAGTTCTGCCTAACTTTGGCACTGAGAAAAAGGAGAATCACTGCTGGCTGAACTGATGGAAACACTGTATATATGTGCCCTTTTTCTCTCTTATCTAGCTCTGTAAATATCATCACTGAAGGTTTGCAGAGAAAGCTAGCACTGGTAGGAGGTGGACAAAAATGAACAGAGCACCTAGACACCCAAAAGCAAGAAACAATCAGAGAAAAGCTTGAGGATAACACCTTGGGTACTACAATAACAGAATGCTTGTAGAGAGACAGAGATCATCTCAGTGTTATTGCCTCTTCATTTCAGAGTCATGAAATTATGATGGTATCAATGTACAAGCCACCCTACATGAGATTACATAGCAGCAAACAATGTCTTTCTCAGGAGTCATCAGATAAAATCCTCCAGGCAATTTTGTTTATATAGGTACCTAGGGACATAAAAATCTAATTTCTATTTGTTTTAGGACATCCTCTCTGGGTTTTTTTTAAGCAGTTTCAAAGTTACTTTCTGTAGATTTTGCTTGCCAGTCCTGTGAGGATGTCTTTGATAATGTAAAGCATTTAAAACATTGGAGATCTTTCTTAGGCCCCTGAATCACACTGAAAGCACCTGTATCAGGAACTTTCAGCAGTATAACAGTATTTTCCTAGCTTGACTTCCAGTCAAATTTGAATCAATAGCTATTTACTTACACTTTAATGAATGCAACGACAGCAATTTTATTAACATCCTGAGTTTTTAAGGGGAAATCTGACTTGACTACATCAACAGCCAGAAGCTTGCCACACATAACCTCCTAGCATACTTGAGCTCTGTCTCTGCAGCATTGCTCTGATTGATAAATCATCAGTTACTATTTTCTTCACCAAAGAAGATACATAGTGATCTGAGTTTGAAAAGTTAGGTATACTAAATAGTAGAGAACTATTTTTACATAGCAGCAGACCTAGAGGAATGATCCTTTGACTAGTATCTGTATACACACGTGCAATTTTAATTGTTCATATTATAACTGCAAATATCTGCCACTAGGATGTCCTTGAAGATATGCTGTGATACTAATCAGATTTGTCAAGATGAGACAGTACCTTTCTATTCTTTCTTACACATCATAAACTATGACTGATATCCCCAAGGGGGAAAAAATGCATAATGTGTCATTTATGACCTGTTACATGCACAAATTACTTGCATCTTGTATGCAGTAGGATAACAAAACGCTATTGATTTTGAATTTGCTTAGGAAGCTGATCTTTATTGCTAGTTGTCACTTGGCAGATTTTTCCTCCTGCTTTGAATTGTTTGATCTAAAATTTTTGTTTGGAGAAATGGAAGCAGTGATGGTTTTATAATATTTTTTTAATGGTATACAATCTATCCTAGGAGACAGACATTATTCATAAGCAGAATAAATATTATATAAATAAGAATAAATTTCAAATAAGTAACAAAAAACATGTAATATGCCAATCTTGCTCTGCTTTTACAACTCTGCTGTGTAGCAGAGCAGGTTTTCAGGGCTTGAAGCAAGGTACTGATCAGCACCAAGATGCTTATGCAGAAGAAAAATTAAAAGGCAGAGCTAAGGGAACTACTCATTAATACAATTATTAATAAATTAATATAATGCAAAATAAAATAAAATAAAAAAAGAATTCTAGAACAGATTAGGGTATGACTTTGAAAATTCAACAGGTATGACAGGCTAAGAATTAGGGAACTTCTTCCACCAAAATTGTCCTTCCCAATTTTATATGTTTTTGTCAGATACATAAAGGGACATTTCAGTATCACTTTAGGATATTGTTTTGACATTCTACAGAAGGGAACAAAACCAGTAATTGTTAGCATAAGAATTGCAAGATTTGCTTGGGTACAATGGGAAGAAAAATATATGCATGCATAATATTAATGATTTAATCCTTTCTTCATTTATTTCTTTAAGAATATAAATGTTGTGATTTTCAAAGAGAGTCTAAATACAGGTTGTGATGACAAATGTTGGAAAGTCTTCAACAGCTTGTACCTTAGCTCCAGCAAAAGTTTCTCAGTGACTATTGTCATTTTCTATGTCAAAAGTGAAATTAATTCTGCTTACCTTCATGTAGAGCAACTCTGCTACCCAGAAAATATCAGTTCTATAAGCTGTATAAGCTGTGACAGAAGACAAACAGGTCTCACAAACCAGGTGTCACCTGATTCCTTGAAATTTTAGATGTCTGTGTGGGCAAGAGTCCCTTAAATCACTGAAATTAATTTATGCAAGTTGGTGTGAACAACCAGACCAAGAAAATATATCTTTGAAGATTTTAACTGTAGCATACAAGAAGATATTGCAAACTAAGTGGAGATACCATGGTCTTCTACAAGTTTGAACTGTGACGTTTGAACCGTGATCTTTTACTATTGTTATTGTATATAATGGGGAAAAAAATACCTCCCTAGATTGTTTAGGTTATCAAGATGTATTTTAAGAAGCAGATTAAGATGAGAATTTTCAAGTATGATTAGGTTTCTGTTAGCATAATTTTGGTTTGTGTCCAGAATTAGCATTTTTAATACCTCAGGAAAAAGTAGGTTAAGTCACTACTGTTAATGTCCATTACATAGTTCATGTGTGTCAGCTGGTCACTTAGCCAAGTAGCATTCAACTTCCTGCCAGCTTTTTATTACCAAACCTGTGTTTTCTGGAATCAAGTCTACTCTGGCATTGTAACTCTTGTTTCTTAGGAGATTATTTCATTAAGTGAAAAATTCCACAAACAAAGGAATTTAAAAGTCAGCAAGAATCTTATTCTCTACTTTTAAGGATCCTGGACATAGAAATCATTAGTGTTTCTGTTAGATTAAATGAAGTATATGTATTTCTATTGCTACTGATACATGTCCTTCACAGCAGAATTCCAGCCAAACCTCACGCAGTATAGATGCATTAGGTCCATTAAAGTCAAAGGAAGTTCACTTAATCACATCACCTGAGAATCTGGCCTACAGCCCGTAACAAGACAATCCTTTGGAGGGTAATAATATTTTATGCTTTCATCAATCACTCTCCTAGGCCTGCAGCTATTTGTGGCAGACTAAAAAATGTTATATTATAATAAAAAGGCTGGTTGTGACTATTTCTTCCAGAAAGTGCAAGGACCTTTTTTTTAATAATACAACATTTATATTTATATTAAACATTCTGAGGACAAAACAATTTCAAAACAGCATTCATATTCTTGGCTTTAAGGCTCCAAGTTGTTACACTGTTTTCCTCTGTTTGGTCTGTTTGCATAGGACACATGTCTACAACCACGACGATAATCGATGGTAAGAACGGATCCGTTCCCTCGTCATCCATGAAAGTGGGCAAGAAATCAGTGACAGAAGACCTCGTGACAACGTTCAGCTCACCAGCAGCATGGCTTCTTGTTGTTGCTTTGATTGTTACCTGGTCAGCAGTAGCTATTGTAATGTTTGACTTGGTGGATTACAAAACCTTAGCAGGTAAAACTCAGTATATTCTGTTTGACACCTTGTATATTCAAATTTAAAAATTTATTAAGCAGCCTCTATTACGTAAATATGCCTGTGTCTCACCTCCTTGGGGACAGCACAGTGTCTCTGCTGAGTTTATCAAAAGAGAAGATATTGTGAGAAATGTCAGAACACATTAGTTTACATCTCATACACCTTTATAATTTAAGTCTCTCCATTTTGTAGCCCATTCTTATCCTGGAAAATGAATACATTGAGAGTAATGTAAAAAGTATATGAGCATGTGTCCTGGTTTAGGACACCCCAAGACAGCATGTAAGGTCAGATTCCTGTTTCCAATTTCTATATAATTTTTTTTTCTAGAAACAGGAAATTAGTATTAATTCATATTTTCAGAAATAGAAAGTCTTTAATAGTTGCTTTGTGTATTCTGATATCTTCTTACACAGTTCAATGATCAGAAAAATGTAGAAGAACATTCTAACCCTAAAAATTATCTTGAAGAACCATAAGTACAGAGCACCAGATTCTTAATATTAGCTAAGGCACACCCTTGTCTTCAATAAGGCAATAACTCTACCCTAGTTTTAAGATTTGGCTAGATAAATGAACAAGATCAAGCTTTAGGGTACGTATTGATTATTGTGGACAAAGATGAAAATGAAGTGGGTGGTATAAGGACTCCGATTCTAACTGAGGAATAGAAAAAAAGAGCAGCAAATAGAAAGAAATAGAATATTTGTGCCTTTTATCTGACAATGATATATAATGAAAAATAAATTAACTACCTATGTTTGTAGTGTTCAGCAAGCCTTCAGTAGTAAAACCTTTTTGAGGCTAACAGCCATTAACAATTGGGAAACATGTATGTGAACCAGAAAACAAATGATTAGGGTCCTTGTCTTCCCTAAATGAGAACTCCAGCTCTAAAGTTAATGCATCTGTCACAATAATTAACTAGGAATTGAAATTTGGACTTCAGCCTTTTAATTCAAAAGAAATTGAGTTGATGTTTTGGAATAAATTTCCTGGACTTTATTAGTTTACTGATAAAATCATAGATTTTTTTTTGTCCTGCTATATATCAATATTGACTTCAAGATTTACTCAGAAAGCTTTTGAAACACATATAGATCTTGAAAGAGACCAACAAATCCTGGATCAATAGATGTCAGAGAGCTTGAAATGTGGAGAAAATGTACCACAAAACTTTCTTGGATTTTTTTCTCATCTGTCTTTGTTTTCAGAAGGACATCTCTGGAGTACCAGGAAAGCATAAAGTGATTTTTGAGAGATCCTTCCAAAATAAGCATCAGATTTTAGTTTGAACACCAAACACCTGATGCTACAACAGAGAGACAAACCCAGAAAGAGAAACTGTCATATTCAGCTTTAGTTTTCCATATTAAATATTAATTAATTCTATCAATCAGTCAATCAGCTCATCAAGTTCTTAATATGTTTTCAATGAAGAGTCAAGAACCTGGGCATAAGTCAGACTAAACTCTTAAACTCAAAAATTTCTTCAGTGGCTGTCAGGTCACACATGCTCAATAAACAAGTCAGGGTAATGCTAAGCAATAGGAATCTGTATTTGTACCAGAGCCCAAAGGAAACTTTCCAAGCAGATGGAATTCTGTTCACATTGTATTGGTTAAATGGGCCTAAATCTCACAGGTCCTGATGGCAACTGACATTTTCAGACAAGGACATAGAAATATAACAATGTAAAATTTGATCTTCAGGGTAAGGTTTTATTTTGTGAAGGTCTCTGAGAGATGATATTATATTATTTTTAGTTTGAGTTTGTTTCTCTTCCTTCCCAGCAATATTTCTGTTCTGAAGTGGTTAATTAAGCCAGCATTCAAATCAGTTCTTGGTGGTCAAACAGTAAGAGAAGGAACTGCTGTACTTCTTTAGACCAGGATTTATTAGGCTGTTTTTTGTATTTACATGCATACAAGAATAGTTGCATAGCTGTTATCATAACCCTTAGGTTTCCACTCCTGATTTCTTGCTGATTTTTTGAGTTAAACCCAGTGATTCGTCAAAATTCCATGGAAATGGCCAAAGATTTTACATAGAATCAAGTAGCTGGCATTATTGATAAAAGAATGATTTTCACTTTTGGACAATTTGCCTAAAGTGGAAGTAATGCCTCCTTTTCATATAGAAAGTAGAATTTGGAGCGTATTTCTAAGTGACTCCTTAAATTTAAAACCCGTCTTTTTTTGTCTTGAGTTTGATATTGTTCTTTGAAAAAACAGACCTACACAAAAAGAGCAAATAGTTATATTCAGGACTGTAAATTTAGTTTTGCAGGCATTATTAAAACTAATTTCCTAGTTTCCAAATGCAAATGAAAGATGCCAAAGAAATGATATTCAGCTGTATGCTTTTTAAATCCATAAACCACAGAAAATTCAGTGTATTTTACCTCAAAGAACACTTGCCTTTCATAAGCCAGTGCATTCAATTTCATTCCCATTTCTCTACCTGAAATTCCATGAAGTTCAAGTTCAGAATGTCTGCACAGCATATGAATGAGGCAGGCTGAGAGAGAGCTGAAGTCAGCCTAGAGGAGACAGGAGGGTGACCAAGGAACAGGCTGCAGATTTTTGAAGGGCATTTACAAAGCTGAGAAAGAGGATTCTGATCTATGGGCTCCCACAGGGACTTTCACTGTTCCAGAAATGACCATCTCCATAGCAGAGCTGTAGCAGTGACTGCACCACATGGGAGTGAGTGCAGCAGAAAGCAGGAGCAGGCTGACCTGGTAAACCAGTCAGGGAACTGTGTGCCTGAGGAAAAGACATGGAATTTTCCCCCTGATTACACTACAGAGCTGCTAACCTCTGGAAAATACAGGAAGTTCAGTTCCCAAATTATGGGTTGCCTAGAGATTCATGGAGCTCAGTAAAAACGCTACACGTGAGCTGAGTAGGAAGTACTTTAAACTTGAACCTGAGCGTTCTTTTCCTTCAATAATTAACAATTTTTCTCTCATTATCTGAAAGGCAAATAATTCCAAAAGACATAAATTATCAGTATGTGTATTTTAGCTCTTATATATTCTTATAATTTATCAGTATGAACTTCACACCACCCTCTGTGATTAGAGTGCCAACCCTTACATTTTGCTTCTTGATTGCTATGGTTTCGTGTTCTTTTAGAAGTAAACGATCAAATTTGTGAAATTTTGACAATTTGTATAAGATGAAATTTGTCCCGGAATGATATGAAGAAGATGTTTAATGTCATCCTAAAGCAGAGGTGCTAAATTACTTTTTTGCTGGCCCTCTTTATTCAGCATTTGTACAATAGCTTATGGAACTGAGGGAGGCTGAGGGAGGTTAACACTTAGGGCTTAGGTAAGTGAAATTAGATTGTATGAATTCAAGCTATGCTCACGGAAAGATTTAAGATACAATTTTGCATAATTTTACACATCCAGAACATGATGGCTGTAAATTCTATAGCACTCTGTATTATTCTGGAAGTGCTGATTATGATACAAAATATATCATAGAAGGGGGACCCTGAGTCATGGATTGCATGGATAAAGCTTTGCTTCCTGAGTGGTTATGCGTCAGTTTGTTTAGGACAGGGATAGAATCCGCAAATCAGCTTTACTTTTAGCAGTGGATTTTGGGGAAAGTATGAGACAAGAATTAGATCTGTACTGAAAGTTTCACCCCTGTTCTATCTACCCAGAAGAAGGAAATTAAATTTTGCAGTGTTGTGCTTTAGTGCATTATGCTCATTCCTTTGAGGAATCAAATGAAAGCTTGCATTCCTATCATGCTGTATTGTACAATTATGAACACGACTGAAATATTTCTAACATGGTATGAAGGTGACATGCATTACAAAAGCTTGAGAGAAGAAACTAAAAATCTTATACAGTACACAGTGTGTATGAATACGGAATGAGTAGTATATCACATTGAAGGATCTCATATATTTTCAATATTTCCAGAAATGAAGAAAAATAATTTTGGCTTTATATGTGCTTTACAACAGTTAATTACTTCCATCCTTTGTGTTAGAAAACACACCTTTTTAACTGGCTTCATAATTCATGAATGTATTTCATGCATTTCTTGTACACATAACTGGATTATACATTTTAATTGATAAATGCAACTCAGTAATTTAAGATTATTTTAGTCCTTAAAATTGATGGCCCAGGAATCCGTATTTGCTAATGGGCTAATAGAGCATTCAAAATTCCCTGCCATCTCTGTGACCAATTACAGCTAATTAACATCCCCCTAATTTCAGATCCAGAGTGTACAATATTCAGAGTAAATTGACAGTGATTTAGCCAGTCACCTAAAGGCCAGACTAAATCAAACCTAATGAAGCCTCACCAAATCTATGAAACCCAAAATTACCTACAAAATAATATAGGTGAAAATATAGAAAACACACATAGACACACTTAGCAGAATGAGCTTGCTATGTTGTTTTCATAACTAAAAAAACAAAACAAAAACACAAAACCCCCATGAGTATGCTCTTTGTTGGGGCTAATTTGTTTTGCTCACATAAAGAGGCTTTTTAGAGACCTGTAGCAAAGGCAGATCTTTGTGGAGATAATGCCTTTAGGAATGGGGAGTCCTATCCAGTCAGATGCTTCCTTTAATTATATTTTTTTAATCTTTTTAAGTTAATGTAAAACATCTGGCCAAATGTTGAGGCGTTTCCCATAGTAGCTTCTGAATAATACAGTCTGAAGTCACCACTCCCTTGCCTGAACTTGTGGTCATTTTTATTACTGTCTTGCAGTCACAGATAGATTTTGTCTGGCCTTAGGGAGTGTATAATAATTATAAAGAATTTACACATTCATTTTTCCCCTGCAGCATCATCTCACTGTAGTCACCCTGTTGGGCTAATGTTCTCTGGAAAATTTTAAGAACTATAAAAAAGAAGAGTGTACCTATTTTTGCTCTTATGTTTTGTGGCTATATATCCACCAAAGTTGAAACTGAAAATACATTTGC